CACCAACCAAACCACACTTGACGGAGAAGCTTTAGAAGATGTGAAAACCTTTACATATCTGGATAGCATCATTGATGAGGAAAGTATATCTAATGCACATGTGAAGACACGGATCAGCAAGACAAGGGTAGCATGTCTACCAGTGAAGAACATCTGGAACTCAAAACAACTATCGACCAACACCAAAATCACGATTTTCAATAGAAATGTCAAGACAGTTTAACTGTGTGAGACGGAAACTTGGAGCACTACAAAAGCGTCTATTAACAGTTGTCTACGCAAAATACTTCGGATTTGCTGTCCATACACCATCAGCAACAACCTACAGTGGGAGAAAACAAACCAGCTTCCAGCTAAGGAAGAAATCTGGAAGAAGCGCCGGAAATGGATAAGACACACATTAAAGAAAGCACCCAACTGCGTCACAAAGCAAGCTCTAACATGGAATTCTCAAGGTAAAAAGAAAAGAGGGAGACCAAAAACACATTTCGCCGAGAAATGTAAACATACATGAGAAGAATAAACAGGAATTGAATGGAACTGGAAAGGAAGGCCTAGGACAGAGTAGGTTGGAGAATGCTGATCGGTGGCCTATTCTTTATTGTGGTAAACAGACGTAAGTTAGTAAGCTAGTTTGATTTCATTCATTAGTGAAGCAGTATCATTGACGTTTTATCAGCGTATCCTTAGTTTTTTGTGGAGTTTATTGAGTGGGGCGACCTCTGTTTGGAAATGCTTTCATTTAATTTTGTGAAATAATTATAGAGATGAAGAGTAGTTATTTTTAAATTAAACTAAATTTTGCAGCTGCTGTTTTTTATTAATCGCAAAGTTATTTGATCCCTTTATAAAACAACTTACCTGACCTGAACATTTTAATTCCCAAAATCAGTCTACTGTCGTAACTCTAAGACAGTTGTCATATAAATCCCGTAAAGTGGTCTGAAGTAATATCACTCAGTAGATTGTAAATATATATTCGGCAAAAAGCAATATGTAAATAAATATAGTTATTCGCTATACTTCACAAAACAGTAAAAATGCGCTGAAATAGTAACATTAAATAAAAACCTTTCATAGTTCTTACTTCGTTTTATGCGCTTTCAGATCTTCGTAAATGTTTTTTTGGGAACTATTTTTCTAAATGGCGCTCTACCAAGTTTTCAGTATTTCATCAACGCACAGGCGTCAGCTACTGAAATATATGATATTATCGAGCGTGTGAGTTTATTTTTTAATCTACCTCTTAGTAGATTTGTTTAGATGATCCTATTATACCGTTTGGCGATAGAATTACAAAAAGTGTTCTCTGTTACCTCGTTTGATAGATGATGATGAAATCTTTTTCAGTCTAAAATTTGAAGCCAAAATTAAGGACAGTAACAAAGCATAGTCTTAGAAATCGGATCCACTGTTATTCTGTGGCGATTTCATTTTTCGTTGGATGTTTGATAACTGAACCGCTTACCAAAACCATAGTATTTCATTATATGAAATTATGATAAAACTGGTCTTCAGACTTCAAGCCGTTTACATCCTTTTTGAAGCTCAACATTTTAATTGTTCACAACACATGACTTATAGGAAATGAAGTCATAGGCCTATCATATCATAAATACAAGAACAGTGTGAGATTTAAAGAAAATTACAGCAGAAAAATAGTAGAAAAAGTGACTTAGGCTTACATAGTACAAATAGAACAATTTTCAGATTTCATAAGTTTTTAGATGACAGTCACTAATGTTGCTTACCTGTACAATTAATGAGTAGATAACTGAATAATAATTGTTTATGAAGCTCTACTACGCTGATAAGGATAAAGATCTATATATGAAGTTAGTAGTGTTATTGAACTTTGATTGAATAGTGTAGTAAATTATTGATCTTATTTCCTGACATTTTTACGGCTCGCACTAGGACGGAAATGTTTATCAGGTTATGTGTTGTTTCAAAGTAAACTACCAACCATTTAGGTTGTTAGAAAACCCCTAATTTTTGTATATCTATTATCTCAGGCTCCTCGAATTGACAAAGACTGTCGTGGAACGTTGATTCCAAACTTTTGTGGGAACATCACATTCAGAAATGTTTATTTTGCATACCCTAGTCGACCAGATATTACTGTGAGTAAATGAGAATCTCTAATTTATTATATCAGTTTTGTGATTTTCAGTAGTTTTCTGAATTAAATTGTTTCCAAAGTGGATAACTATTCAAAGTATGTCAGTTCAGATTCTGTACTGTTTTTTTTATACTTCCGGGAAGTGTTCCAATATAATGATATTATAGTTTTTTTACGTGAAATATTTCCATAAATCCAAAAGTTGCATGTTTAGGAATCTTGTTTGAAATAATATAGGTCTAATGATTTATTTTCGGTGTTTCATTGTTTTTTCTCAGCCGGTAGTTATACATAATCTTTTAGCAAATCTTATCTAATTTATAGATAAAGAGATATCTATATTTTCATATTACATTAATACTTTATAATCGTTGTACAGTACACGTACACCTTTATTGTTATATTAACATCACAATGAGTCAGTGATAGGAATGGTCGTTTTACGAAGTACTAGGAATTATTTCCAAATCGTGTACGATCATTTTATACAAGTTGATGATACTAAAACATGAGACTTCAGGGTGAAAACTTTCATCCTATTACGTCTAAGAGTATTGTATTCTTATCTCAGCTAAATGCTTCATTTGCTGTATACTTTACTTTGCAGATTTTAAAGAATTTCAGCTTAAATATCCAAACCGGTCAAACTGTAGCATTGATTGGACCGACTGGTTCGGGAAAAAGTACGATCATTCAATTGCTGCAAAGGTTTTATGACCCAACAAAAGGCGAGGTATGCATTACATTGAAGTCGTTTTATTTCGATATATGTTCTTACAGGTTTATTGAGGTGATTAGTCTGTATTATTTGTCATATGTGTTACAAATGTGGTTACACTCCAAACTGACATTGACTTTGTTACTGTAAGTTTTTGCATAAAATTAAAACATACCATATGTTTAAAATGCACGTAACTAGAAAGGTATGTGTTTCATTAACTAACTGCCTATCCATATTAATTTCATACCATAACTTATTTCTTAAAACTACTACCTAAATACATACCTTGCAAAATGTTACATATGGACAACTAAATTAGTTAACCACTTTCATTATTTTTTATGCATATAAAAAAACCACTAAAACCAACAAATAGAGTGTATGACTCATTGATAACAATTAATTAAAGCTAACAAAACTACATAATAATGCATTAAACTAATCGGATAGTGACGAATATATACAGAATGGGATGAAATCCTATTCTCACGAGGAAGTAACATACGTAATCCAAATTTCCTCTAGAATTCTAGATAAGCGAGTTGTACCGATATACTTTTGTTTCTATGGTCTCCAATAGACTACTGTGAAACTATTACTTCTAATTCGAACTAACTTTCTCACAAAATAGTTCATTTTGTTATGTTATTTAAGTACTAAATTGTACTGTTAGTGTTTTCGTTAATCTAAACATTTTGTCTTATATTTGGTGTTCAAGATACTAATCGAGGGTGAGGACATCAAGAATGTAGATCTGAAAGCTTATCGTAATCAGATAGGTTGTGTACAACAAGAACCGGTGCTTTTTGAAGGAACTATCAGTGATAATATAAGGTTAGGAAAGCTTGATGCAACTGAAGATGAGATAAAAGAAGCTGCGAAGCTTGCCAATGCTCACGATTTCATTCAACAACTTCCAAAAGTAAGTTATCTTCATAGTGTTGAAAGTAAAACTATCTATTAATATTAACATTCTCTACTTAATGATAAGTTGAAATGTTATATTATATTGTGAATTCAGGGATACGACACTTTTGTAGGTGAACGAGGTATTGGAATATCAGGTGGTCAGAAACAACGTATAGCAATTGCTCGAGCTCTGATTAGAAAACCAAAGTTACTGCTGTTGGATGAAGCAACGTCAGCTCTTGACACTAAATCCGAACGTGCTGTCCAACTGGCTTTAGACAAAGCAAGTGAAGGGAGAACTGTCGTGGTTGTTGCTCATCGTCTCACAACAATTCGTAATGCAAATTTGATAATCGTTCTTGATAAAGGAGTGATTCGAGAGACTGGAACACATGACGAACTTATGAGTCGAAATGGATTTTACGCTGCAATGTTTAATAATCAAGTACGTTCAACTTTTTCAGAATAGTACTGCTTACGATGTTTTGGTATTCGTTTGAATTATTTGACGATTAATTGTTATGTTAATAAACTGGCGGATAACAGTAACGAAACGTCTCGTATATTTATCTAGAAACTTCTTTTTTTCTCATTTTCTGCTTTCTAAACTAATAATGCCGAATTATATTTAGAAAAAGGTGGTTTTCTGAAGTACAAAGTTGAACGTTTCATAGGACGATAACCAATTATTAAATAAACCTAAGCTTCTATGCATAAATTTCAAGTAAAAGTTCAATAGTTTCGTTTGCAAAAACTATGATATGGTTTATATTAATGTCAATATTGTGAGTTCGTTTTAAATAATGCAACTCAAGGTAGTTCACAGTGAATATTCGTCATAAAATTGTGTTTAGGAGATATCACCGTTGGGTGCCAGCCCAGTGGTCCGATAGTTAGGCGTTCGCACACAATACCGAAGGTCCCGGGTTCGAATCCTGGAAGGTGCAAGAGTCATGGATGCGCACTGCTGATGAGTCCCATACCAGGATGAAACGGCTATCCAGTGCTTCCAGGTTTCTAACGGTGGTCTAATAATGATTGATTGATGATTTCATATGTGTAAAAATACAAACCTCCAAAACTCTGCCCCATGATATCAACTTTGTAAATATTTATGAAAAGTGTAATCACTTGTTTTAGGTTATGTAAGTTGGCCATACTGAACTAAAACCTTACCAACCACATAATTTAATTGTTGTGTTTGACACTAGTTCTTAAATAATCCTATATCCAATGCATTTTATCCAGAGAAAATTGGAAGATGCTGAGAACGAAGAAGGGAAATTATTAGTTGAGGAACAATCTAGAAATAATCATATTGTCAATGGAAAAGATTTGTCGATCAAATTAAACGATAGTAGTAAAATTGATAGTGATGAAGATGTAAGTAATATTGTTTATAAAAATTAAAAATAATTTTCATATGTTGTTTCTAATTACAAAATGTTCCCCACAACACCCCCCCCCCAGAAATTATACACATAATTGAAAAATCAGTTTCGCATTTTCATTGCCTATTCTAAGAAATAGATATGAATTTACATTGAAACACCATAATTTGATATTGATTTTCTCACAAATTACTCGTAAATTTTTCACAAAAAAAAGCAAACATTTATTAAATAGGAAGTGATAAATTGTTAGAAAATAGTGTCATTGTAAAATTCCATTAAAATCCTACGAATATTACTGTTGTATACTAATTGTTTATTCTATATATACTAGCGCCACTGTTCAATCACGTACATTGACAATTTCATATGATTTTGTTATAAAATCAGTATCTTGTATAGTTGATTATTCAGTTTATGATGAAAATAATCTCGTTAATCAACTCAATATTTTTAAACACAACAATAAATATACTGAATAAATCTGTGAGTAATCATGGTTTAGTGAAAAAAAAATAAAATTAGAAGTAATCAAAAAATGGAACTTTCTTATTTTTTTTCAGTGAATACTACTCTTCATACGTGTACATCACATTTATTTTTTATTTATTTATTTGTGTAGAATATATCTGAAACTACTGAAGGCATTTCTCATAGGAATTTTTCATCAATGTCAACAACTACTTCAGTTCCACATAATCAAGTAAGTTTTTGTTTTTTTTTTATTTATTTATTAAAATTCCGATTGGTAATTAAAAAAAATATTTTGTGTGATCTTGAATATTCATGTTTGTCTAGTAGCAGAACATTTCGCTTAGATATCGAAAAAATAAAATAAAATCAAGGTATTAGGTGAATTAAAGTGAAATATGTTCATGTCAGGAACAATAATGTGAACATCAGTTCAGAGTATACATCGTAGAATGATGTATACTCTGAACAGATGAATATGCCTAGTTATTCAATTATTTTTCTAATCTCACTTTGCGGTGCAAGCTACTTATAAGTAGTATATGACGTGAGTGTCAACGTACGTAATGTCTGGCAGCAGAAGATGGGGGAAGATCAAGAAAGGAAGAGTTAGATAGAACACAATGGAATTTGTATGAAACACATGAATAGTGACAATGGATTGACGATGTTTTGCAACAGGAACAGTCCAGTTCCATAGGATGAACTGATCTTTTGCAAATGAACAATTTACGATATGGTTTTCCGATTTTACTGAGTAACTCTGTAATTTTCGTTAAGTACAATCCGGTTGTCTCACCTGTGTTCTCGTTCGCTACAACTTTAGTTTATATTTTAAGTCGTACCACACACTGAGCATCATTATTCATCGATATATCTATTCAAGGCAATGTCAAAATCTTAATTCAAACCAAAACTTGAAATTATTGTTTATTGTATGAATAGCTTAATATAAATAATACATATTCAGAAAAACAATTGGAAAATAATGTCTAAATTGTGCTCTGAAGATATTCACTCATCTTCATTTGATCACTGTCAAAACTAATATCTTCATGTAAATTAAAATATTTCTTGTAATAGTTTGAATATTTTTAAGGGAAAACGAAAATATGAGTGTATGAGTGTAGTCGTTTCATAAAGTGACACATCGTACATCTACAAAATTGATAATTCAAAATGAATAGGGTAGATTTTTATGATTTAATAGTCATATTTGTCTAGTTTTACTTCTGAGGATGATTATTAGATAAAGATAACAGTTGTCATTTCACTTCGTTTATATGAGTAGAAAAGCTACACATTGAAATCATCAACCAATCATTGTCAAACCACCATTCGAAACCTTGAAGCACTGGACGGCCGTTTCGTCCTGATATGGAAATCATCAGCAGTGCACAGCCATGACTGCTGAACCTCGTAGGATTCGAACCCTAGACCTTCGGTCATGAGCGCGAACGCCTAACCTCTTGACCACTGGGCCGGCATCAAATGGATAAGGATAAGCATTGTCATTCCACTTCCTTCATATGAATAGAAATCCTACAGTCAGCCTAGAACTACGTTTCATTTCAATTGCACACATATTATTATCAATGAATTTCATATGTTTCTAATTTATAAGTAATTTATCGGTATTGCATGCAATGAAAGTTAATAAATAGTATTTTTATATTATTGAACTCAGTATACGGAAGATACTACCTATTTGCATAGGACTGTCTTCTAACAAATAGCATATGCCATAAACCACAAATCTCTAACCAACTTTGTCCTTAGCTCTTTTTTCTAGCTATTGCTAAGCACTATCTTTGATCTTGGGTCTGTCTCCAGTCCACAGCATCATCTGTTCCTTGGTCTATCTCATTTCTTTTTACCTTGTCAGTTGTAAGTTAGGGCTTGTATAGTGGTGCAGTTAGTATCTCATTTGGTACAATGTCTGGTCCTTCTACCTTCCGACTGTCGATTTGTCTGATGACCTTGACAATTTCTGTTGTTATGGAAGTATCATCTTGATAAAAGTCTGCGTGTGCTACATCTACGTCTACTCAGGAGCTCCTCATAGTACACTGCCCAATAACTCAGTTTCATCTGATCCTCAGTGATCGGTTTTCCTCTTTTTTGTTGGCTGATCACTTCAGTTCACTAAACGTCTCTTCTAGCTTCTTTTTAGCATTATATAACGTGGTGGTCGGGCTTGCCTATCATGATGACCCAACCGAGCTATACTGGCAGGAACATATGTTCCTGCAGGTCCTACCATGCCAGTCAGCTCGATTGGAGAACGATTAGACTAAAAGCAGCTACTCCAGGTTTGAGGGCGAAGTCGTACTGCTGACTGCAGAGAGGTGTGACAGCAGTAAGGTGTTTCCCTCGGACAACCAGCATCTGCAGCGATGCTGCCTTCTGACAAGGAAGGAAGAGTTAGAAAAGGTCGGCCCTAAAAATGTCACACCTCCCCTAACTCACGGATTTCCGTCTCCTTGGGTAAGGGTGCCCACTAAGGGCCTTTAAGAACGGAGCTAATCCTCTAAATACCTTTCATAAAAAGGCCGTGCGTGACCGGTCTCAAGCAGTTGTCCCTTGGGCTCTGCGGTCACGCACCAACACTAATCCATCTTCTTTTTCAGGTTCGTCAAGAAACAACCTTCCACGGTGTGGGCAGCCGGAAAGTGACAACCGCCCTCATACCCGTAACTGACGTTGTGTATATGGTGCATTTTATTCTGTACGAATAGAATACAATATCTTTACTGTTCAGATTATGTTCCAAAAAATTTACTTACTTTTGGTAAATTCCAAATGTATCTTTTCGTTTGCATAGCTCTTTGAAAACTTTTCATATCTCCTACATTCTTCAGACATTCCACATACCTATTTAATTTAGTGCCCTAGTCGTCAGAATTGGCATCGGCCTAGTGGTTCTCAAGGAATCTTGTTTTCTACCGTGAAGTGTTATGACTCTTCTAAATGAGGACTTTTGAACTCGTAGAGCAGGATATCAATATGCTAACCCATTTTCTTCGATTAGCGTTTGGAAATCGTGCTTTTGACTCTACCTGAATAAAAGTTGGGATATGTAGTAACTTTACCGTTCGTATCTCTTTGTATGTACTAAAAGTAGTCCTAAAAACTTTCCGTCAGTACTGATCCTAAAATTTAAATCACCAGAATTGTGGTGTGATCAAGGATAGTAATTTTTCCCTGATTCCAGCATTGTTTGCTGTTATAAATGTAATTACTCAATAGGCTTTTTGTTTCTCAGACGTGAAATAACTAGTTTGTCAACAGATCAGTTGTACATTGCCAAACATAATTAACTCATGATTAATTTTAATTCACTTTTCTTTATACAGAATAAAAGGATCAAACTGTCTCACATATTAAGAATTTTAAAACTTAACAGACCTGAACTACCACTAATCTTTCTAGGATGTATTTGCTGTTTGATCAGTGGGATCACTCAACCAGCTTTTGCTATTTTATATACTGAAATGTATAGCGTAAGTACGCTTAGAATTCACCATTTCATTATTATTATTATGGTACTGTTAAAACCAAATAATGGACAAAGTTTTGTTCCAGCATTAACTTTTCATATGATTTTGGTTGTAATGTTGTAACATGTGATTGTTTAATTTGTTTATACATTTCGTTCAAACTGACATCACAAACTGTTCATATGATAATAAACTAATTTTACATTCACACTTTTTTTGTTTCAAGGGACTTATTAAGTTAGAGAAGTGAATGAACCATATGTTGTATGAATTAATCACTGAATATAATAATTAAAAGAGATTAAGTGTGTAATAAGCTTTTTTTTTGATTTTGTCTGTTTCGTACTCTATGAAGTAGCATATAAAAAATATATATATGTACATTTTCATTACAATGATTAGTCATACAACAGGAATACTCGAATGTCCAAATATTTCATTCGTATTTAGAGGTTGACTCAAACAAACGGGTTAGAAATATCATTAAACAACTTGAAGACTGATAAATATGAAATCGGATTGCTTAAAGTATGGAAATTAAATTTTGAAAAGTTTCATCTCTATGCTTTCATCCTCATATGTTGAGTGAGCTTAACACTTATGTCCAGAGCAGTGTTTTGTGGTGCTTGAAAGTCTGTCAAAACAGTCAAATTCCTCTTTCTTCGATTGGGATCTAGTTAGAGAGTCTTACGGACTTATAGTTCATATACAGATTTCCCTAGACAACTCAGTAATGAGTCAATCTCAGTTTTCTAAGTTATGCGTGAATAAATGAAATAACTGAATTGCATAAGTGAAAAATTAAATCAGAACAATTTTTAAAAGAACTGATAATGGATGAAAGATGAAAATCCCTTTGTCGGAAATTTTAATTAACTAAATTACAAACAGGTGACATAATATCATAGAAACGAATTCAACGATTGTTGAAATATTATTTAGATTAAAAACACTTGATAAATCTTTAGAATGCCTGATTTGACTAGAAAGAAAGTCAACTAGAATCTCGTATTCCGTTGCCGTAAAATATTTGTATGATGATAAATGTGATGTTCTTCGATTGTAGTAACTCACTGAAGCATAAGTGTAACATATCTGGATCGATGACATATGGATGTATGTGCTTACGAAAGGCAGCTGGAATTGATCTGATATTAACTCAACCTTATATAAGAAACAGAAAATGTTTATGGAATGAGAGCAGGCGATTACAGAACAACTAGTTGTTAGTATCAAAGTTGATTGTGATCGTTTTATTAAACATAAATTTTTTAACAGATATATACATCTTTTGTCATACAAACGTGATACTGTTTTTCTGGAGAAAATAATCTGTCAGTTGTGTTCCGTAAAAGTAACACTTGTAAAATTACCCATTTTAGATAGTTTCTTTGCGCTCTAATCCAGATCTGATGTTTAGCCGACTCACTTTTATATGCTGGATGATGGTGTTGATTGGCTTTCTACGTTTCATAGCTGATGTCAGTCAGGTAGTATTAAATGTTTACATTTTTAAATTTGTAGTTTATTGTGTTACAAACATTTTCTTTCTTTTTATGATTTTTCATTGACAAAAATTTGGTCTTAACATTTTTTCGTTAAGATAAATGTATATGTCCACATTTATACTATTTACTTCTCAAATCCACTAATTACAGAAATTTAATAAAAAAAAGATAGTGTGTTTTGATAATAAATAGTCCAATAATCACTTGCCTTTATATGATTAAGTTTGTGGTTATTATATCCTTTACATAATATGGTATTGTGATGTAGAGCAGAGAGAATAATATCTAAAAAGACTGTTCATTCAAATTATTAAAGAGTGATTATACGGTTTAGTCAAAATTTGCCTTTCAGTTAGAATATGTAGTTTTGAGTACTAGTTACAATATTTTCAATGTAGCTTGATCTAATTTCATCAAAAGGAGATGTTTATAAAATTCTATTTTAAAATTGAGAACTATGTTACGTTTAGAAACTGACAGGATTTTCTGTTAAGTTTATACACAATTCATATTTTATCATAATAACATAATTAGAAACTCAATCACATGTCACATTTCTGTGAAGTTATATAACCTAGTTGTTGTTTTAAGCATGATATAAAGCAACTAACTGGTGAGTAAATAAACAGGTTGACTAATATTTATACTTCTCATGTAGATAGATATAGAATCAAATAACTTTCGAGTAATCTTGTTTACATCATGTCTATATCAAATAATTCAGCGAACCATGTCTAATATAAACAAATATATAATTGGATTACTGTATCAACTGGGATCAATTGATTGTTTCGTTTAGTGAACAAAAATTATTGAAAATCACTTTTTTTTATAAGAGATTTGGAAATATATTCAATTTATTTATCAAATAATATCTAAATGTTTCAGTATTGTTTTCTAGCGGCTAAACTCTGCACTACAAAATTTCTACTGTCTAGATAACCAGACCAGACATGCTTTGTTGCATTGACCAAATCAGAATGAACTAATTATTATTATTATTATCATAATTATAAAACTGTTGATGAACTCTTTTTTTTTTAAAAATAAATAAACTCATCTTTTTTTTTTCTTGAATTTATTTAGAGCTTCCTTTTTGGAAAATCAGGCGGTTTACTAGTTAGCCGTATACGATCAAAACTTTTTGAAAGGATTCTCAATCAAGTAAGATAAAATTGATTTTATCATTTCATACATCATAATAACCTCCTACCTTATAATTCATTTTGATCAAATAAAATAAGTCACATGAAATCAAATTATGATGATGATGATTGTTCTTATTTGAACTTTATTTTTGTATTTTTTTGTTTGTTTGTTTAGGAAGTAGGTTGGTTTGATAAACCAGAAAATCAAGTAGGAGCATTAACTGCAAAATTAGCTAATGATACAACAAAACTCACCATGATTTCAGGTTACCAATTCGGTTTCATCATTGAAGCCGTTGTAATAATATTTGTATCCCTTGTAGTTTCTTTTATCTATAGTTGGCAGTTGACACTGCTCATATTGGCTTTCTATCCTTTAATTGTAATTGGAGGATTTCTTCAGGTAAATTATTTCATTTGATGAACAATATATTTGCGTAGGTTTTTTTTTAGAAGATGTATATGACTGTGACTGAGTTAGTTGTTCAATGATGTGTTTACTTGAATGTGTTTGAAGTAATTTATGAATTACTGAACAAAAAATCGCTATATTTCATTATGATTGTATGCGTGACTATTAAGTAGCGAAAATTTTATTCATAGGATTTAATTTAAACTTGCCAAGTCAAAGTAGCAAATTTCAAAGAAATAGCATCCGCTTGTTTGTATTCCATGAGTCTATATTTGAATGCAAACATTTTTATTTCATCAAATATTTGATGAATGCTGCTGTTGTATGAGAGAAGGAGACTGATAATTAGGATAGTGTGACAGACACATATATATATTTTCTATCTTTTGTATCCATTTCAATTGTCTGTTGACGACTAATGTAAACGTATTTTGGTTAGGCTAATCCCGTGTTCTTGATCTGAGTTGTGTTAAAGTCTAATAGAATAGTGCTGCTACCTGGTTATCTAGTGGAAAGAGAAACATAGCATTATAACAGTTACAGTTCTGGATTCCTTTACTTAGTAATGGCTCATAAGTTGGAGTAATTTCCTTAAACTATACGCTGTATATAACTCATCTTTTGCATTACTGATATTCATTTATGAATATACCTACAACTGACTCATCTTCATTAAAAGTTAAAAATGCAACTTGTAAAATATATTTTTTTATACACGCCAATTACCATACACATATTATTCAATGATGTGATATGGAAAACAGATGATTGTGATAAAGTTTATTAATGTTGCTCATTCCTAACGATGAATGAGTATAAGCAGACATTACAGAAAATATTTAGGTTGAGCGTTTGTGATGATAGCTTGTTCCATCTATTAAACTCACAAGTATCAAACCTTGTAGCCGTCAATATGAATGAACATGAAATTTTGGTTAGTCAAATTGTATACATTCAATCCTAACACTTATAGAGGCTAAATTATTAAATGACTGATCTCAGAATTTATTATACATTCCATGCGAGTTTAATTTTGATGGAAATCTAAAGTAACCTTTATAAAATTATCCATTTACTTTATTTATCATTCTCTAATTCAGATGAGAACACTTTCAGGAAGTAATAATTATCGGAACGCTTATGAATCAATGAAAATTGCTCAAGAAGCCATTAGTTCAAATAATACAGTTACTGCATTTACACTAGAAGATTATTTTTTCAAACGTTTTAAATTTCATTCATTTGAAAATCTGAAGTAAGTTTTTGGAAATTAATATCTTGTTACTTATAAAATAGAATTATTACTGAATGTTTGTTTATCTGGGTTTTTGTCATTCATAGAAAATATAAATTGAACTTTTTTTACACATTTGAAATCATCAATCAATCATTGTTAGACCACCATTAGAAACCTGGAAGCACTGGACGGCCGTTTCGTCCTTGTATGGGACTCATCAGCAGTGCGCATCCACGACTCCTGCTCCTCGCAGGATTCGAACCCGGCACCTTTGGCATTGCAGGCGAACGCCTTACCATCGGACCACTGCGAGGAGCAGGAGTCGTGGATGCGCACTACTGATGAGTCCCATACCAGGACGAAACGGCCGTCCAGTGCTTCCAGGTTTCTAATGGTGGTCTAACAATGATTGATTGATGATTTCAAATGTGTAAAAATTCGCAAACCTCCAAAACTGTGCCCCAAAATAAATTGAACTATTATCAGTACCAAGTTGTAATTAAGTTGAAATGAATCATTTTTTTATTAACATGAACGAGACTTAATTAATAACAAAACAATCGGACTGTTAAAAGTCACTTTGACTGATTCACTAATAAGTACTGGGTTTTTTTTTTCAACTTTCAGTCTATTTAAAGTTAATGATATGTTTTAAAACTTGGTAATTGACGTAAAAGCAATAGTGGAGAAATTTTGCAGCTCCGGTGTATGATTTTTTTTAATGGAGTTTTGTTCTCTCAGCTGGATGTTTTGGTTTCGGAGCTTTCATTGTTCTTCTTCTGAACAACATCATCAGCACAAACTTCATATCAAAATAAAATTCTTCGAAATTCTCTGTGTATAATTAATTCTTAGCTTGTTTTATATTGACTTCGATCTTTGTTGGTTTTTTGTTGACCTTAAACCAGTCGTTGTCTGAATCATTAATTTTAGTCAATTCTTACTTTTTAAATAAAAATTTCGTAAATGAGAGTAAATGATTAAATATTTTTAATTCTGATTTTATGGCCTTATCAGACTGCTTTGATAATCACTTCTTTGTAATGCTTAGTTAGTTAGATCAATTATCTTTTTTTTTTTACCAGAAATAAAAAAGCCAAAAATTCAAGCGACGGATTCCTAGACATCATATGTGTCTGTTATTAGTTTACACTGATTGTGAATTATTTTTAACAAAACTTTAAACATTTTTAAAGGAGACAAGTATCAACTATCAGTGGAAACAATGATACGTTTCTATTTCTTTTTGAAATCATCTATTTGGATGATGTGTATGTGCGTATTTCTTCAAATGACAATTCTTTGTTGGCTTAACTATTGTTGGCTCAAAATGAATTCTGATTAGTTCAGTTAGGATGAGTTATAATTCAGCTTAACAAGGGTTTAGATCTTTTGGTTTTATAAATGTTTTTAATGACTGAATTGATAACCTAAAATTGATGAAGATTTCATTTACATATCCTATTTTTTTTTTCTCCTTTTTATATTAAGAAATAATTTGAAAACAATATTTTCCAATGCTGTTATATATGCTATTGCAGAAAGTGTGTTATTGTTCACAGTAGCGGCTGCATATTCATTCGGTGCATATTTAGTTTCAACAAAAGCTATAACAGTTGTAGCAGTATTCAGGTGATTTTTTTTATTATTTCTGTTTCATTTCAATTATCATATATGAATATATGAATATGGAAAGTAATTATTTCACCATATATCAATGTGTATGAAGTAAGCGTAAAATATAGGATCCAAACTGAGGTTTGGACTGAGGAATAACTGTCCAGGTAGTTTAGATAGGCGTCTTGACAAGTTGAAATAAAAACAAGTGATTTGGGTAAATAACTGTTCTAACATTCATCATAAATATAAATATACATAATTACCTTAAACAGATATTACCACTTAGTTATTCCACCAACAATAATTGTTCAATTATTCAAATCAACAGCAACAGATAAATGATATTCTATCCCTCCTGGATAGATCCAATTTGTTCGACAGATAATATTTGGTTGATTTATAACACAGAGTGTTTCCTATTCTGGAAGAGTCCTTCAATTTACAATCAATATGCACAATTCCAGTCAATGCAACCGACACAATCAAATGAGGAACAAATCAATATGGCTATCACCATGGCCAAGTATCATCTTAAACAGCATAATGCTGTTTAGAAAGAAACATAGAAACTCAGTGAAGGCATAAAAGAAATAGAAACTATAATTAAAATACAAATATTATCATCTCAAAATGGAATTGAACAGATTCAACAAAATATACAACTGAAGGAATCTCAATAAGAACAAATTACAAATGTATATACATGGAGGGATCTTCACAAACAAAGCCTTCAAAAAAATGGATCTTATCATTTAGGCTCCCTCATCAGTAATCCTGTTACTTTGAATCCCAATCAACTAGAGGATAACCGTTCAACTTAATATGTGAACAATGAGACTAGAGCTATAAATCATAAATACTAATAGCACTAAACTTAAAAGTTCTACAACACCACATGGAAATTGACATTAAGTATAGTTAAGAATTTCATGGGCTTCTACACTTTTCTTTGTGATATCAGATTAAAATGAACACTGTCAAATAAGTACGCTTTTTTTAATATTTACAGTTTAGTGATTGCTGGACAGTAGTAACCAATACCATGTATGTCAGGTCCTTCTTAGTGCGGATCGAATTATGTCGATCAGGTTGCAATGTGGCCACAAATCTAGGTGACCGAATGTTGCGAGCACTATATTCAGATATAAGGAGGTAGTTGGAGGTAGTAGACAAAAAAATCTTAAACCTAGGTTTTGTGCTATTCGGTAGTCGTTAGCAATGTATACGTGTAGTCTTGAGGGAATTTATGCTCCCTGACGGATTCCATCCTATGTCATCCAGTTTCATAATCAGAAACATTACCTCTGAGCTATCCGAGTCGTTAATGACCCATAGATCTAAAACGTATTTACATAAGAAACGTTGATATACATGAAGTTACTCACTACTCAGTGATCGATCAGTTGTAAATACATCTTAATTCTACAGATCATTCGCTATCCGGATAGCTCAGTGATAAAATCTCTGATTGTGAAACTAAGTGAAATAGGATTGAATCCCTCAAGACTACAGTACATACTTCTGATGAGTACCAAACAGCACGAAACCTATGTTAAAGTTTTCCTATCCACTATCCCTAACTAGCACCTTGGATTACTGAATATTCTTTGTGTTAAAATGAAGAATGTTTAAATGCATATCTTGTAAATAGAGTTAGAAATCAAAACTGTTTATACTTGTTTAAATAGTTCGCATTTGAATAATTGACTGTCATATAAATATATATATATGATTAGTAGATATCTAAATAATATGCCGATAATTTCACTGAACATGATTCAGAATACATATATTCTATCACTGAATAAATCAGAGTTTAATATTAATTGATTAATTGACTGGTTAATATTTAAAAGATTTAATTGAAAGAATTTTCATTTCACAATGCTTAAGTATTATTGATTTAATACCTTCATTACCTACTGCAATTCTGGCAGTAATATATCACCGGCTTTCAAGAAATTTTTTACATTCAACTTCTATCTTGACTTCATGTTTGAATAATAATAATAATAATAATAATAATAATAATAATAATACAATGCACGATTTCATTTAAACAAATTTTTCAGAAAAGAAATCAAGTATTATTATGATCTAGTTTATAATTTAAGAAAACGTTTCATATCACTATGTTTAGAATTACAGTAGAATAGAAAAAAAACTGAAATTTTTTTTTCTTATTTAATGCAACAATATACACTTATATATGCATTATATCCATCATTTAAAAATACTCATTAGAATGGTATACACAATAAAAGTATCTAACTGAACTATTTTATGTTGTTGTTTTTTTTTTCTGTATTTAAATGTAAATATATATATATATATGCACATATATAATTCCTGTTCCACTGTCGTACCACCCAAGAATCTTGGATATTATTGTTTCAGCAAAAAAAAAACAAATATTTATAAATATTTGTAATCATTCATCAATTAGAGTTAGCTATTAAGAAAGACATACAGATATACAACGCAGAACTTCGTACGTACGTACGTACGTACGTACACATCAGTTCATGTTGTTGCTATACCACAATAACACACAGAGATGCAATTGTCAGTTCAAATCCCATAATGGTAGAGATAGTAGAAGTATTAGCAGTAATTGGAGAAGATTAGGACTTGAAGATATGATTTGACAAGTATAATTCAGTGAGATAAATTTAGAAATACAAAGATAGAGATGATGATGAGGAATTGAGAAGATTAGAAATTTGAAAGAACACTAAGAGGATTTTGAGCCATGTCATTCAAGGCCTCTAACTATTGATGACTTACATCTTGCGCACCTAAACTAGGTAGCCTACATCTATTAACCACATCCTGAATGATTAGGAAGTTAGAACTTATTTTTATTACTTTTACAAAACAAATTGTTTATATATTTAGAAAGTAACAAATGCAATGAATCCTAATCTTTGTTCTTGTTAATTAACAACAGATTAATTCAAATAATTTTTTGAATCTAGTTGTACTAAGATGAAAATAATTTTTTGAATAACTTTATCAAAGATTTATGTATCAGATCAGTGAGTGAATATAACATGTTGAGACAAAAAAAGTCTCTTCTGTATATAACGACAATTCATTATAAATGATTGACTAAAACAAATTAATTACCAAAATGTCAACCGATATACAAAGTTAACAAATTATCATTAACTTGAACAAAATTAAAATTCTATATAATATATACATAGATATATATATATATATGACTGATAGATAGAGTTTTTCTTTTCACAAATTAAGAAGCTATTAAGATAAATATCAGTGAAAATGTAACTATGTAGATCAGATGTTTTTCTTATTCAATCTTATTTTATTAAATCTTATTTTTAATTAAAAATATTTTTCTACCCAAAAAAAAACTTGATTCCATAGTTTTTGATTGAATCATTTTTATATATTATCAATTATTATTTTTTTTATTTTCATTTAATTTTTTAAAGGGTTTTTGTCATAATGCATTTAAGTGCTCAATTTCTTGGTCGTACAGCTTTATTAGTATTAAGTACTAAACCAGCTAGTTCAGCTGCACAATGTATCTTAGAAATTCTAGATAGACAATCATTAATTTCAACTAATACAGGAATTATACCAAATGAACAATTCAAAGGAAAAATTCAATTTAAAAACATTGATTTCAAATATTCTAGTGAAATTAAACGAAGAGTTATAAAGGTAAGTGATTAAGTTATAGCGTAAAAGGAAGAAACAAAAATACAAAAATACACTGTTATACAGAATGTACTTTTTATTTAGGCTAAATTTGTGCTAATTGATATTTTAAAGGTGATAGGCATGTGTCTAGATAAAACTAGATCATCATATTTAGTGAATTAAGCATGAATAGGATGAATTTGTTGTTATGGTTGGAAGTGAATCTTAACCAACCAAAAATATATAGCTTGGGAAATACAATTCTACTAAAATTCAGATAAATAAAATCTATTCAAAATAGAATAATGTGAAATAAGGAATCATTTAAACTTAGTCATATAGAAATCTCAGTATTTTTCTTTAATTGAGAAGACATATTTTGTGAGATAGTACCATTTCGTACTTTCTGGTCAGTCATATACAAGCAACATGTTATTTTTGTCAATACAGTTGTGAAGATAAGGTCAAAATTTCTTATTTAGCATGACATTCACTCACTAGAACCATGGTAAGTAAACAAAGGTCAACATACAGTTGTTTTTGAACACATAAAGTTGGACTTTTTCGACCAATCAAGATAGCTTCGAGTAGTTTCAGTGTGTGTGGGTTTTAATGACATGTCACAACTCTAAAGGCTGATTTTGGGTCAATTTGATGACCACTCATCATTAGATGTTTTGCAATAGACGAGGCTGGGTTTCTTGATCGATTTTGAGAGGACGGGCTAGGTTGATGAATCATGGATTTGATTAACCATTTTGGAATATGTTCCCCTATCCTGTCTTGCAATCGGTGATCTGTCCTACCTAAGTAACTTTCTCCGCAGTAACATGTTGGTTGTATGTGACTGACGAGAAAGCACGAAATGGTACTATCTCACAAAATATGTCTTCTCATTTCTCTGTTCAAATTTATCAAAGGGAACCACTGTTTTGAATTTCTAATTTCTTTGTTTGAAAACTGTATTAATATGCATAATAGATTTTTAAGTATTGATTTTACAAACTTCTTAAACGATTACATCGTATATTTGAATTTTTTGTGATGAAAACTCCATTAACTGGAGCGAATGTAATTCCTGAAACTAGGACTTTCTAAAACAATTATCACAGAGCACAATGTATGATAGAAAGACTGCAGGCGTATCGATTTCAAACAGTGATATAAATTACAAAATTATTAGTAGGATCTACATTCAGAAGGGCTACTCTGGAAGCATGAATCAGATCCCCTTGATTTACTTTCAATGATAACTTTTACATTTTCAATACTATATGATTTTATTTCCTAATACTTATTTAAAATTTCCTAGTTATTTAGTTACTAAGTAGACTGCTCGAACTATGTTACCATTTTTACAGAACTTTTCACATACTATTCAACCCGGTAAAACAGTCGCATTAGTTGGACCATCTGGTTGTGGCAAATCAACCTTGCTTCAGTTAGTAATGAGATTTTACGATCCAGCATTTCATGGTTTCGATAGTGGTATCTTTTTTGATGATATGAATATAAGAAATGTTGCACCTCGTTGGGTTAGGCAGCAAATTGGCCTTGTTTCACAAGAACCAACTTTATTCGATCTCACTATCAGAGAGAATATTGCATATGGAGACAATACTCGAGAAGTGACTATGGATGAGATTATTGAAGCAGCACGTGCAGCTAATATTCATGATTTTATTACAACTCTTCCAGAAGTGAGTGTGAAAAGTAGTCAGTTTTTTGTTAAATGCACCAAATTTTACATTTCAGTTATCTTGTATTCATTTAAACTTCAGTTTTTGAGTTATCCAGATTGTTATGATTAGTTTTAAATCCTAATTAAAGTATTTTCTTATTTTTCAGCAATATGAAACTAATGTTGGACAACGTGGATCAAAGTTATCTGGTGGACAAAAACAGCGAATTGCCATAGCTAGGGCATTAGTTCGTAAACCTGCTTTACTTCTTTTAGATGAAGCTACTTCAGCTTTAGATAATGAAAGTGAACGTATTGTTCAAGAAGCACTTGACGCTGCAATGGGATCAAGAACATCATTAGTTGTTGCGCATCGTTTGTCTGCAGTTGTTAATGCTGATCTAGTAGTAGTATTACAAGATGGACGTAAGATAGAATCTGGACCACCAGCACAACTCTTAGAAATGAAAGGTGCCTTCTATGCTTTACATCATGTGGAGAATGAAACCATTTGATCAAATTATTTCATTGTTACAACCGTTTTAAATAAATTTGTTTTTTTGTTATTGAGTTATCTGTAATAAATTGGAATTTTTAAAATCGGTGTCTGACAGAAAAGAGAACAAAAAATGTTTAGTATTTCAGAATACTCATAATATATATTACTCATTTTCTAGGCAAAATTATTGGTAACAGATATCTTAATAGAGCCAAACTTTTGTACTTACTTACGTGTTTGGAAAAAAACACAATTTTGATAATTAGAATGAAGAACTGTTCTTAATTAGCCCATTGCTGAAAACCCAAAAACCATGGATACCCGTTTTATCCTAATATGGTACTCCTTAGTAGTGAGAACTAACGACTCAACATCTAGGAAACTACCGAAATTCTGCAGTCTTCCCAAATTCTGCCATACTAACGATAAATATGTGCTCGTTAGTGACTAACCTGAAGATGGAACACCTGGAGATGTAGTGAGTAGCTGTAACTAGTGAAGTTCAGTCACGTCAGTTGTGAGACATTTATCTATCGCAGGGAATGGACAAGTATTTCAAAACATCGTGCATGGTTAGAAGTAATACACTGGTGCCGTTAGTGACCGGTTCAGTGGTCTAGATATAAAATGATCAGGCGGGAGCACAAGGGTATTTGATTCTATTTAAGGATGCAGGACTTTGGTTAGCCACTGCTGCACAGCCCTATACTAAAATGGAACGGTTGTTCAGTGCTTCCAGCTTTCCAGCTGTGGTCTAATTATCGAACGTCCATGAGTTAAAATTTTGAAAATTCCACAATTTTCTGAAATCTCCTAAGACATTTCCGGCTATCAGCTGTAGTTACGTTAAGAGGACTTTACATTTACCATGTAATTAAAATCAAAACCAGAATTATGAGAGGAAATATTTTCAGTGCGGTTTTTTCCCTTTATAATTTACCATATTTATGAGGTATGACGTTCGCCTAAAAGTATATCTATCTGAATACTCGCTATTGATATGGCAGCGTATGGTTACACTAAAACTATAGAATAACTGGCATTTTCATTGTCAATCCTCAATTCTTAAAAGAATCTTTCATTAGATTTACAAAAAATATTTACTAGTCTGTATTCCAATTGATATGATGAAAATTTGTTGAGAGATAATTCATTAATGTATTCTAAATCGCTGGATTTCAATGACTGTAAGAGTGACCTTCAGGTTAGCCAATCAGAAAGTACCCAAGGAGAACACGGCAGTTTTGAGAATTTTAAACTACAAAAAAATGATAAAGTTACATTTGATTAACACAGGTTAAATGAGAAATTATAGTATCGTAACCTGAATAAACCTTGGCTCTTAAACCTAACAATTCTAAACCTAATGGTCTATAATCTTGACCCCCTACTCCTTATTAGTAACACCGAAATTCTTAATCCCAATAATCCTTAGCCCTACTTTACAATCCTAACTTCTGACTCGATTGCTTTCAAACACCGACTCCTAATCCTAATAATTCTAATATTACTGCTAACACTAATCATAGCCCTAAATCTAAGACTATTTGAACACTTTGAACCCTAAGAGCCTAATCCACATGAAACTTTCACCAAACCTTGTCAAAATACGAAAGTGCATTCAAAATTATAATTTCCAGCAACAATCTGTCTGTAACTGTGTTTTGAATTCACAATAAAATTTAACAATGAATATTTTAATCTTGGTTGGCTGAACATGGGCCGTCACTAAAGTGTAGTTATACCGATTATTTTACTCATAAATTAATCTAGATGATTTTTTTTTATTATGAATGTTAACTGAGAGAACACAAATTAAACATGAATGAGAATATTCAACTATTCTAGCCAATATTTACCTAAAATCAACCATAATGACAGTTTTTTCTTAATTGCATTAGAATATTTGCAAATCAGTTTCATTCTGTCGTAAACTGGAACATCAAGGGCGATCACACTTACTGGAAATATCTAGAAGACACCTAGTACCGTATCTAACTTACTTACTGACGTGTATTAGTAAGAGGGAAATGTGGTTGGTCATCAAGCGTCAAAAAATGCTACCGACGACTAAATATGCGATTTCATTTCTTCCTATTGATCCCTACTCCAGACTCACTGAGTATGATATTTTGTAAATGGGTAGGATAAAATATTGCGAATTGCTTAGTCTAATTCTCTAGTTTAGTCGTGAATAGTGTGTCTCATTTACGTAGCTTAGTCTCTGTTTGGTATACTGTTTGAATGTCCACTTTACTAGTAATATAAACCCAATCACCAATTCAGTTGCAGTCTATAATACAGAAGATACAAGAAGTATCCAATACACCTGTTATATCACATAGTATTTGGATTTCAAATGATTTTACAGTCAGTTAATTTGTTTTCCTTTTTTTCATAGAATCCTTTAGTAATAATGTAGTGAAGGAGAACACAGGTGAAGGCAACCGAATTGTATTTAATGAAAATTACAGAGTTACTCAGTAAAACAGGAAAACCATATCGTAACCGTTAATTTGCAAATCTTCAATCCATCATCAATCCATTGTCTGGCATTTCACCACTATTCATGCGTTTCATACTAATTCCATTGTGTTCCCACTCTTCCTTTGTTGATCTTCCCACATTTTCTGCTGCCAGACATTACGTCTACAATCGCGTCATATACTACTTATAAGTAGCGCGCACCACAGTAAGACATTGAATAGAATTTTCTGAATAGTTAATATCGAATAAATTGCTGAATAATTGATAAGTGAAAACAAAACTTTACTTCTCATATAAATTGAATGTTGAAACCTTCAACTATGTATATGTCTAACCTAATTATAAAAATTAATTAGCATAAGCCAATTCCTTTACATAGCAGATTTTTATGAGTTTTATTGGAGTATCCAGGAGATGGGTATACATGAACCAACAAACGTAGTTAGCCATCATAATCTGATAAAGCAAGAAATAGAACAACACTATATCATGGAATTTCCAAGATTATAAACTGTAAAGCGAAACGAAACCCAAACAAAACTGTTTCGAAGGGTTTATTTCATATATTTATGATAAGATAGAAACGTAATAATGCGGTGTATACTTTCAAGAATAGATAGATCTCATCAAATTCCAAAGAATCGTAAATAATAAAAAAATCTGTTCCCAGTATAATCTTCAAGAGAATGAAAGCAAATTTTGTTAGAAAATAATATGAACTCATCTTATTTCGTTAGATTATGATCATACGATCATACTTAAACCCTATCATATTTTAAAAACAAAATTATCATTAAAAAAACTGATATACTTATGAATACGAAAATTAATAATCAATATGTATGTTGTGCATCATAATGTAGCAAAAATCCCAATAATATTGATAAGGTTGTATAAAATTCATTTCAAATAAACAGTGTAAGAAAGAAAGTTTTAGAATTTGAAACTAGTGATTAAAAATCATAATTAAGAACAAACTAGACGGTCGTGTAATGAAGCATTTGAACTGAAATCAGTCAATTAGAATTAAATTGATCAATTCCAGGAAAAATGAAAAGGATATGATCAAAAGGTGAGAAAGAATGGAAATAAAGAAAGATGTTGTCATAAATTGAATGTACTTTTACTAGGACAGTGTAAAATTTGCAACACAATTCTAGTTCCAGACGTTTGATTTCTATAGCTAAAACAAATTTTAGGGATTTGAGTTTTGATTGTTCATTAATCACTCTGACAGACTTCATTGTATCCACTGAATGTCCTGTATCAAGAAGTCACGAGATGGCACTGCTGAATGCCTATTCAGCTGACTGGGATCTAACTGCATGCTAGATGATTATATACACTAATGAAATAAATCTCCTGTCCTCTTAGGCGAACTCGCTTTATACGTTGACATAAATAAGAAACTCAATACGGTTTGGCTCGGAAGAATTTACTTCATACACTTAGTGTACGGACACAAATAAGAATGAGGAGTGTCAAAGCGAAACAGAATCCATTAGACAAAGCATGACTAGCTAGCTGTTTATAATCAGGCAAAAACAAACTAGATATGTGGCAAGTTAACTATGCACACACACACACACACACACACAAGAAAAGTCAACCAATGTTATAAGCGAATAATTGAAAATGTCGAAGGAAGTGTAAATAAAAGGTGAGGAAGAATAAGTTTGTCTAAAACATGGGACAATTCGTGTAGGCTTGACATATTAGTGTACACTACACCATTAATCCGCCTGACTTCGTGCTTTTTGGATTTTGTTCTTTTAATCAGACACAAACCGTTCTGTTTCTTCTACCAATGTAATGACTGCTTTGACAGATGAATGTGACTATGTATACACAGTTGGCGGTAGCATGAAAATAATACCTATTCACCTTTATGTCAAAGAGCATGTTATTTTAAACAAATAATCAGTTCGGTTGAAGGATAAATTCTCGTCAGTGAAGCTTTCATTTTTGAGTTGATTGTTCTAGAGACACCATCATTTTCGAATGTACGTTGAATAAAATGAAGCTTTTCGCCGAGCTCTATATAGTCACATTCTCTTTATTTCTTGATACATTCATTTCTATGGGTATCCGTAGTTCCTTGAATACTTTTTCAACATTCATTAACTTCTCTTCCAAAATGTCAGTAACACATGATCTTTATGTTCAGTGAAATGGTGATCTAACCCTTCCGTTTAAGTAAATCAATACTCGAAAGCTTGCAGTGATTTCACTCTTACAAAGAAAAGACGATTGGTTAAATGGCAACATTCATTGTTATAACCAACTGTACTAGTGAACGTTCTACCGAACAGTTTTGTAATGGTACTTGTGTACCACTATTTTGCGCAGTCACTATCTTGCTTTTGCTGCTCTGTAACTTCGCCCTTTTCTCTAGCACGTCTCGGCATTTCTTTCGATACCACGAAATCGCCAGCAAATGCACTTATTTCATCTAGACTATCCTGTCTTTGTTTTTTACCACGAGATTTTGTGATAACGCTTGGGAGCCGAACGCAGTTCATTTGTAGA